GTGTGTGTGTGTGTGTGGAAAGCCGAGGGGAGGGGTGGAGTGACTAATCATACACAGGGAGGGATCAGACTAGAGGTCAGGGGTCAGAGGTCCAGCCTCTCTCAGTCTTAAAGAAGGGTCCAAAACAATCTCCCTTGTTTCCTCATCCAGTTTCTACTTCACCGTGCGTGTTTGTGTTCACAGTTTGAGGCTTCAGCGTCTGCTAGAGGCCAGTTGCTGGCGAAACTCGCCACCCAGAGGGCCAAAACTCTCTGTCGAGCGTCAGGCGTACAGCCTAAGTGGGGATGACGCAAGGCTCTGCAATAAAACCGGAGCGTAAGTCAAGTTAATGGCAGAGCGGTGCTGCACGCTGACAGCCGTGGCAGCTGGTATTACATAATCCTGTACATTGACACAGATCTTACGTTGCATGCTGCTGTTCAGACTTGTATTGTGCGTCAATTACATGGGTACCATGGCTTTCATTAAGGCATTGTGCACCATCCATCCATCCATACAGACTCCCTTTGTGTTAGTTATTCCCTTCAGCCTGTGCACACCCATCTCCATACGCACAAGTCTGACACCATCCAGTGCCTATTATCACCACCTCTCCCAAATCTATACAAGAACTCTTAAGTGGCTAATTGCAATGATAATACAAAATATCTCCAGCAAACATTAAAAGGTATAAATAAATATGCGCTCAATAACAGCAGCAATAATAAATACATAAAAAGGATGTGAAAAAACACTTATTAATGTCTAACAAAGGGTTTGCAGAGCTGATAGATTGTGCTAGTCTAAGCGGCTCTGCCAGAGAAGGTAGGTGGTGGGCAGATACACTCATCAGCAGAAAGGCATCCTGCCAGCACAGCAGCAGCCGAGGCCGTGGGCCTGATCAGCTGGTTAACATCTTCCCGAAATGACTTCACTTACCAAGAAAAGACATCCCACCATGTTGCATTTATTACCTCTCCTGCACTCTGATTCACACTAATGCAGTACAGATGCATTACAACCACTGAGTGTATAACCAAAATGATTGTCATATATCATAATCAAGAACCATAGTTCTTATGAAAAACATACACATAGCATCCTACTTATTTAATAGTTAATGATACTATGAACTTGTATTAACTGGATTGAGGTTCACGGACTGCCGCCATCTTGGTTGTTACTGCGGCTAGCAAATTCAAATTTGGACAAAGACGGCAGAGCCTGGGAAAAAAAGAACTAACACTAACCTTGCAAATGCTACATTACATCCTCTGTGATCATTGCAAAGTTACAGATTGCAGCTTTAAAAGCAACAGTAACACAGCATCACAGTGTTCCCGTTCACTATGGCTGCATCTGTTCAAAGCCCCCAGAGTCCAAGCTCAGCATTATCTGTTGCAGCGGAGGCCAAAGGCGCCATTAGGCATCCTTCCCACTCTGTGCTACACACACACTCACTCTC